GCATTGTTTCAATATCTTTGGATATCTGAGGTAGATTCACTTTCTGTAAATATTGCTTAACTTTTTCTTCTTGAATATTCTCTTGAAAATATAGTTTTCCATAGTAATCTTGTATAATTTTTTCTTCTCCTCATTTCCATAGCAAACTTGTCCTTCTTCATTTATTAATTGACTAATCCTTCTTGATTCTCTTTCCTTTCTCAATTTATAGGCTAGCCATCTGCCTGGTTTGTTTGCATCTTCAAAGTAATTCTGTTTAGCATTTTTAATTTTTTGTGCTAGTTCCTCTTTTTCAATTAGTCTCATTTTATGTTTAATTATATCCATTTTATTTTTAGTGTCTTTTTTGCGGGAACTTCTGTAATTCTTTTTCCAGTCTTTTATTGTCATCCTCCAATGTTTTGAAAGTCTTTTTCTGCTTTATATTTTTTTTCCTTGTATAGTCTATTATCAAGTCTCTTGTGTAGGCCTTCATCGTGTCCCAGAGATTCTGTAAGGATTTATCTTCTTTTCTATTTTATTTAAAAAAGAAAACCAGTTCTTTCTCTATTTTCTGTTTAAAGTCTTTTTCCTGTAGTATCGTATTATTTAAAGTCCATCTACATCTCCTCTTATGTCCTTTCCAGATAACTGTCATTGGGTTGTGGTCTGCCCAAGTACTTGTTTCTATTTCAATTTCTCGTATGTATATTGCTTACTTTCCACATTTCTCTCTCTCCATGCATCTGTTAAGTTTAGTTCTTCTATCATTCGAAAGAAAGATTTTGGTAATATCTTTCTAGCTTTCTTTGTTGATTTCTGCGTTTTATAGTCCAACTGATCATTAATTATTCCATTAAGATCTCCCATCATACAAATAATAACATAGTCCAATTCAATTATTTTCATATGTAATTTCCTGTAGAATTCTTCTTGGTTATCATTTGGAGCATAGATTGCAATTAAAAGTGTTTTAACATTATTGTCCATTATTTCCACCATCAAAATCCTTCCATCGTCATCTGTATAAATTAGTTCTGCCAAAATTGTATCTCTAATATATAAGACCACACCTCTTTTTTTTAGATTGTGTCATTGACATGAATAATTTCCCTAGTTTTTTGTTTCAATATATATTCGTGTTGTTTTTTAATATGTACTTCTTGTAAACAAATTATATCAAATTTTAATTTCTCTAATTTATGAAATACTTTCCTTCTTTTAGTAGCCAAATTAAGTCCATTTATGTTAATCGTAATCAATTTTCTCTCATCCATGTTAAGCTTTATAAGGGGGTTTTATTGCTCTAGTAGATCTTAATTCTCGTTGCTCTCTGGGCACACCACCTATTGCACCTTCTTCTTTCAATTACTGCTATACACTCCTCTTGAAATTCAATTAGTGACTCTTCTTTTCTTGCTTCTTCCTCCTTTCCTCTAAAATATTCTAAGTAGAATAACTCAGCTTTTTTTACTGTGTCAATTCTGTGTCTTTGTTCCTGCCAGTGAACAAGAGGCCTTCTGGCATCAACCATCTGTAGTTTATTCCTCTTTTAAGTAACTCTTTAGTCAAAAATAGATATTCTCTTCTCATCTCTCTTACTCTTCTTGGTACCTGTTTCAGCACCACAATTTCTTTGTCTTTATACTTTAATGTTTTCTCTCTTGCCACCTGCAGTATCTGTGTTTTGATAATCTTCTTAGTAAATCTGATGTGAACTTCTTTTGGTAACCTGTTTCTCATTGCATATCTTGTATAAACACGGAACACTTCATCCATCCCATCCATCATCTTCTCTTTGGTTATCTCTAACACTTCTGCCAGTATTTCTGTCATTATTTCACCTTTTTCTTCTTCCACGTTTTGAAATCTCAGGTAAAATTCTGATCTATCAATTTCCCATCCTAATGGTTCACTCCTGCCCTTCTCGACATCGCTCAATCGAGTATCAATATCTCCAATTTTTTTTTCTCTTTGTATATCTTCTTCAATTTTTTAAAATCTGTCTTCATATTTCATCATCATCTGTTGAATAGTTTCTACTTTCTCATCTGTCTTTTCAGTTCTTTGCTCAATATTCTCTATTCTCTTTTCAATCTTCTGAATTCCTTGCATAATCATCTGCAATGTCACTTCCTTCTCTTTCTCCTGTTGCAACATTGTTTGTATAGATTGTTGTCCTCCAGATGGTGAAGAGGTTGGTACTGAGGAAGCTGGGGCTGTTGTCTTTCTGCTCATCTTGTGGTACTTATCTGTAAAGAGAGAGAGAGAACAAAGAAAAAGAAAAAAAGGAAAAAGGAAAAGAGCGAAGGCAGGCAATTGCCACTCCAAAAAATAAAAAGGGAAAAAAATCTTTAGGCACTTGTATACCTTAATCCAATTAGTAGCAATAATATGCGAGAAGAGAGAAAAAAAGAGAAGATATGGAAAAGGGGATAAAATATTTTTCTTTTGGAGAAAAAGATGGTAGGGGAAAGGAAAAAAAGTAGTCTATGTATTTCTCTTAATAAAAAGAAAAAGAGAGAGCAAAATAAAAAAATTACATTCTAGTTCCTGGGTTGAAAGGTTGAAATCCAAATAAAAAAATCCAACTAGAGTGGAAGTAGAAAAGAAAGTAAAAGGTAACAAACAATTCTAATGTGAAGCAAGCCTCTGCCACTAAATATCCAAGGCTCTTTAATAAATCAGGTCAAAGTTTCCAGTTCCAGTATTTTCAAGGTCACTTCAATCTTCTTTCTTTGAATTTCAACTCGACTCCAGCTATCTATAATTTCACAGATGAGCACCTGCGTAAACAATCTGCCATGCTCATCCCACTATCTTTTCCAGTGCAAAGCTCAGAGTCCTTGAGTATAACACAAATACACAAACAAGTAAAGGAAAAAAGAAAACAATATATCCAAGCCTCTAGATGGCAGTGCTACTTATTTTTCTTCACTTTCACTCCCCCCTAATATATCCAAAGCCAGGAACATAAAAAAAAGTAAAATCTTTTCTTTTAAAAAGAGGTAAATCTCAATTCAGAAAGAAGAGTCTTAATCAAAACAAACTTTCAAGAGAATTGTTAAAAAAATAAAAACGAGAATAGGAAATTTAAAAAAGACCAGTCCAGTTTAAAATTAAGAAGCTTTGCCAGATTCAAAGTTCCAATAAAAAGGGGAAAAAGCTTTCACCTTAACTAGCTTAATCTCGCCGCTTAAACTCTTTTCTCTTCACTTTTAATTCCACTTTAAATCTTTCAGGGTGTTCTCATCAAGAAACAATAAGTAAAAGTTCATCTCACCAAACTGACATACTTTCTTTCAATCTCTTCCGTTCCGGAGCTATCCAACTTCAGCAGCTTGAATGGCTGCCTCTTCGCCGCCAGAAAAAAGGGCTTTTCCTGGATCAACCAGGGACTTTGCGATGTCCCTGGGATCAGCAGGACGTGCCCTTGTTGATCACCGTCTCTACGGGACGGTTTAGGTCCGTCGGGACCGTCCAGCAGCAAAGATATTGACGGCGATCTTGGAGGATCAAGATCACAGGTCGTACCACCGCGATGCCAGCTCCGCCCTCTTAAGTGATCAATTTTTATTGCGAGATTTGTAGCAACATTTGGCATTTACATGACAGACTGCCAGACAGACTCTATACCTTAGCTTCATTTCATCATTATTTCATAAATATTCAAGACTTATAGGACAATTCTGCTACAATATGCAATGTTGCCAGTTCTGCATAGCAGCACTTAAAATATGTCAGAAGATGACCTGTATCATAAAACAGTTTAAAACCATGTAGACCGGGGGTCTAATAAGATCCAATAAGAACTGGATCTACGGTAGGTACCAGGTTTTTCCAACAATACACCCCCCCAATAGGAAGGCCCAGCATGTGTTAGGCATAAAATGAAATTAAGCCCCTCCCACCAAATTTAAGCCTATTTTAAAACATACAAAATGGGGAGGAAGGGCGGGAGGCCTTGCCGCTAGAAGTGCCCCACGGGCAGCCATGCCTCTCCACCAGCCACTCCTAACGGCAGAGCACGGACAGCTCCCTACTCCCGCCAAGTACCTTTGCTGCAGACCCGGGAATGGTGCTGCCTGCAGGCCGGATCAGTGGGTGGGTGGCAGCTATGTGGATGTCGGCCTTAGCGGGGCATTTTGCATTGCAAGACCTTCAGCGCCCGCTGCTGCTGCTTCCTCTTGGAGTGTCGTCTTCCGTTTGGAGAGTCGCTGACAGGTTTGGAGCTGCCGCCGCCTTGTTTGGAGTGTCACCACCACATTTGGAGTTGCTGCCCCCGCGTTTGGAGCGCCAAACGCAGCAGCTCCAAACGCGGTGGCAATGCCCCAATCGTGGTGGCGACGCTCCAAATGGAAGAGGATGCTCCAAGAGGAAGCAGCAGTGGTGGGCGCCGAAGGTCTTGCGATGCAAAATGCCCCACCGCCACTGAGGCCAACATCCACGCTGCCACCACCCGCCCACCCGAGGATGCAAGGGGAGGATTAAGTCACCCCCGAAAAGATGTCTTAGATGTTTTTTCGGGGCTCAAAAAAAAAAAAAAAAAAGACCCGGCCTTATTTTATGAAAAACACGGTAATATGTGAAACCATGCCGCCTAGTCCAAGGGGGGAAAAAATCCGGTCCCTGGTGCCCAAAAGATTGGGGAGGGGTTTGGTGATCTAGACCATTATTATAGTGTTTTATATTAGATTTGTTGTATTACTTGTACTAGATAGATTTAATTTGTCATATTTCTAGTCTATTCATTGCTTTTATCTGTTCTGTTAGATTTTTTTTTAAGATTTCTTTTTTATATATTTTTTTTAGCTTTTTAAGTAATTTCTTTTTTGCATGTTTTATACTTCATCCTCCTTATGCTGGTCTTTGCCTATCTTAAAGGTCAAAGACCACCATAAGGAGGCTGAGTTACAAGAAATAATAAAAGATTATTTGATTTGGGTATATTTTTTAAACAAATAATAAAGGGCATCATTGGCATTATCATCGGCATTATAATTCCCATTAATATCACTTACCTATTAGTCCTCTGTCAAGAGTGAAGGTTTTGTTGGTGAACATGCATTCAAAAGCCACAATATGGAAAACTTTGTTTACTGTGTTGTGTGTTCCAACTATTCTGATATACCTGTAAGTTAGAACAAAACAAAATAAAAATAAACAGAATGGAATATGCAACATAGCACTGATCTTTACAAATGCTGCAAGGATCAGTTTAGTTTATTTCTGTACTGAGAGACTGAAGTACCAAGAGAATGGAAAACACAGGCTTGTAGGTAAGTGCATACATAAATATTCGAGCCATGTGAGAAATGTTTTCTCCTTTCCAACCCTTACCCCCATCCAATCTAGTAAGGAGTACTTGGCAAAACCTTTTTTTAAGTACTGCGGCAGCAACAATACAAGATTTTAGGGCAAACCTTAGTAAAAATGAGTCAAAACGTAGAATATTAAAGAAAGAAAACAATTACATAACATTAGAGAAGCAACCTTTTCTTTAACCAACTTTTTCACTGTTTAAAAGGTCATTCCTTCAATATACAAAGTTGTAGAATGTTCGTTTTATGCAGATAAAATATCAAAATCAGAATTTTGATATTGTAGAACAATAGGCTGAGCTGAAAAGCCTAGCATTCTCTGACTTCTTGATTTCAGGCCTTGATGAATCAAACAAAAACCACTGCAGGTCAATAATGTAGATTTTAAAAAAATCTAGTTACCAATGAGGCAATCAAATCAAAAGATAGACTGCTGCTTACTTCAGGAATGAGGTAAAACTATAATTCAGTATATCATCACACCAATCAGCATGAGGAAAAGAAACTAACTCTATATGATATACAATATTGAATTATTGATACATACTGTTCATCAGTGTTTACATTTGTACAGAAGGATTGAAGAGCATAATATTCTAGAATTTCATGTTTAAAAAATGATGTTTTAATCATCTAGAGCAGTAGTTATCAACCATTAGGCCGTAGAACATTCTGTGCCATGAAAAGTCTATGGCTGTGCCACATCAGCAAGCCAAAACAAATGACAGGAAGTGATCTACAGTCAGAACCCCATTTTTATGATATCATGGGGTGGATTGACTTCATTTCCTCTCCCAAGTCCCAGCAACTTTGTGATGTCATGGGACTTCCAATTTAATGACTCAAATGTCCCACCCATAAAAGGTATCCTGTGGCATGAAAAATGTTGAAAACACTGGCCTAGAGAAGAAATAAGGATTAAACTGCCAAAGAAATAAAGGGTAGGGGAGAGAGTGAATGGATTGAGAAGAAGAACAAGACTAAGAAATTTGGGGTGAGCTGGAGATGAGAAGTTTAAAGAAGAAAAGGCAACATATGAAGTACTTTATGGACCCAGTGGAAGCAGGGATGGTTTGTAAGGAAAAAGGGAAATACATGCATTTTGTTAATATAAATTCTGTTTCTTTATTTAATTATCTTCATCGTTCACCTTTAGTTTCTTTGTCTGCATAGTGTTGCTTATTCCAGCAAGTACAGTGTGATAGGCATATATGTTTGTTTTACATTATAATGTTCCACATTACATCTAGAAACTTTAAAGATGTACTCGTAAGAGAAAGATAAATTGGCAAGATGCAGAGAAGGATTTTTTTAAAGATAAAACCTTAATTTATTCTTGTTCTTGTTACCTTTAAAAAAATCAGATTGAATTTTATAAACCAAAAAACAAGCAGAGAAAAGGCAATTTAACCCAACCCCTTTATACACTATACTATACTAATGCCCATTATACACTCATATCAAACTACAAAATGATGCATGCTTCCATTTTTCATTGTAGACACAAAGAAATTTTATTATTCACCACTTTTTCATCATAATGAAAGGTTCCATAAATCAAAGACAAAGACAATAAATCAATCCTCCTCACCTAAAGAATAAACCTTTCTCTTTTTAATTGCCCCTACTCTCATTCCATACTATAAATACATTCCCTCTTTCCCCCCCTCTCCTATAAACACAGAAACACACTGTATTTTGTGTATTTTTAAAAGTTTTATTTTACAAGCTGTTTTTTTAAATTTTCAACTGCACTCTCTCTGCCATAGTTGTGATGAAGGATCACAAATATTTACCAAGTTTTTAGCTATATGTGAGATCCTACAAAAGGCCTGAAATGTGTGTAAAATCCTATTATTTGTTGCTAAACCTTTGGATTTTGTTAGCTAAAGATATTGTGAACATAACTCCTGGATACCACTACAAACCCAGATGGAGTTCTTGAAAATAATGCCCCATTCAATTTTTGTACTATGTATGTATGTATTCAATTTATATGGCCACCCATCTCAACAAGTGTTCTCTTAGAAGAATGAAATACAGTATCTCACAGAAGTGAGTACACCCCCTCACATTTTGTATACATTTTCATGTGACAACACTGAAGAAATGACACTTGGCTACAATGTAAAGTAGTAAGTATACAGCTTGTATAACACTGTAAATGTTATACAAAATAACACAATACATAGCCATTAATGTCTAAACTGCTGGAAACAAAAGTGAGTATATCCCTAAGTGATAATGTCAAAATGGGGCCCAAAGTGTCAATATTTTGTATGACCATCATTATTTTCCAGCACCGCCTTAATCCTCTTGGGTTCACCAGAGCTTCACAGATTGCCACTGGAGTCCTCTTTCACTCCTCCATGACGATGTCACGGAGCTGGTGGATGTTAGACACCTTGTGCACCTCCATCTTCCATTTCAGGATGCTCCACAGATGTTCAATATAGTTTAGGTCTGGAGACATGCTTGGCCAGTCCATCACATTTACTCTCAGCTTCTTTAGTAAGGCAGTGGTCGTTTTGGAGGTGTGTTTGGAGTCATTATGCTGGAATACTGCCTTGCAACCCAGTCTCTGAAGGGAGGGGAATCATGCTCTGCTTCAGTATATCACAGTACGTTGGCATTCATGGTTCCCTCAATGAACTGTAGCTCCCCAATGTCGGCAGCACTCACGCAGCCCCAAACCATGACATTCCCACCACCATGCTTGACTGTAGGCAAGACACACTTGTCTTTGTACTCCTCACCTGTTGCTGCCACACACGCGTGACACCATCTCAACCAAATAAGTTTATCTTGGTCTCATCGGACCACAGGGCATGGTTCCAGAAATCCATATCCTTAAATCTGTTTGTCTGCAGCAAACTGTTTCCGGGCTTTCTTGCGCATCATCTTTAGAAAAAGCTTCCTTCTGGGATGACAGCCCTGCAGACCAATTTGATGCAGTGTGTGGCTTATGGTCTGAGTGCTGACAGGCTGACCCCTGATCCCTTCAACCTCTACAGCAATGCTGGCAGCACTCATATATTTATTTCTCAAAGCCAATCTCTGGATAGGACACTGAGCACGGGCACTCAACTTTTTTGGTTGACCATGGAGAGGCCTGTTCTCAGTGGAACCTGTCCTGTTAAACCGCTATATGGAGAGGCCTGTTCTCAGTGGAACCTGTCCTGTTAAACCGCTGTATGGTGTTGGCCACCGTGCTGTAGCTCAGTTTTAGGGTCTTGGCAATCTTCTTATAGCCTAGGCCATTTTTATATAGAACAACAATTCATTTTTTCAGATCCTCAGAGAGTTCATTGCCATGAAGTGCCACGTTGAACTTCCAGTGACCAGTATGAAAGAGTGAGAGTGATAACACCAAATTTAATACACCTGTTCCCTCTTCATACCTGAGACCTTGTAACACTAACGAGTCACATGCCACCAGGAGGGGAAAACAGCTATTTGGGCCCAATTTGGACATTATCACTTAGGGTGTACTCACTTTTGTTGCCAGGGGTTTAAACATTAATGGCTGTGTGTTGCGTTATTTTGAGGGGACAGCAAATTTACACTGTTATACAAGCTGTATAACCTCTACTTTACATTGTAGCCAAGTGTCATTTCTTCAGTGTTGTCACATGAAAAGATATTCTTAAATATTTACAAAATGTGAGGGGGTGTACTCACTTCTGTGAGATACTGTATTTTAGGAAATATTAAAAAGGACATATTTAGGATATATTAAAAAGGCAGAATATTATATTTTCCTAAAGAAGAAACATGTTTCTAAAGACAAAAACTCAGAGTCCCTGCTCCCTGCTCCCAGCACATATTTTTGTAAGGACTGGGCCAGCCTATTTACAAAACAAAAGATCTTCAGCTCCCGGATGATGGGATTATCCTTCAGGGCAAAGCCATTTAGCCACAATAGGAATTACCCAACAAAGCTCCTTCATTGCATCAGCCCAAGCTTCAACCAAGGTTGACAGAAAACCTTACAAAATCAGCTATGAACCCTGCATAGCCTCATGGGAGTCTGACAGCAATCAGTAGAATACATGCCCTTTCCATAGGAACAGGAAGCTCAAGGGCAAAGCCAAAGAGAGGGTATAAATACCTCTTTTTCAATTCCATATAATCAGCTGCACCAGGACTATGTGCTTGGTAGTCCTGTTCACCATTAAACTATCTTTTCAATCAGCCTCCATGTTCCCAGTGTCTTTCACTTGGAACTGAACCAGATGGATATTTCTCCCAAGAAGTGGCAAACAGAATTAACATAAAATAAACATGATTAGAAGCAGTGAAAAAAAAATACAAAGCAGGAAGGAAACATCATAACCCAAATTACTAATGCAACTCAGAAGCAGGCCTCTGTATACCCTAGGGTGCTTGGGGAATGAATAACTTATGCAATTTACATGTGCTGCTGCATTCTGAACCTTTAAGTTTTCAAATGCTCTTCAAGAGCAGCCCTACGTGAAACATACTGCAGAAATCAAGACAGGCAGTCTCTTTTGCCCTAGGATTTAACTTTCTACAAGCATTAACCTTGAATCAATATGTTCCTCTTGCTCTTAATGGGAGAATGAGTCCAGATATTAATGAAATTAGATTATTAATAAATGTTCAGAAAAATCCCAAGCAAAGTAATATACAATATCTCATTGTGCAATAAAAAATCACAAAACTATTAGAATATAATTTCCTATCATCCAAAGTGAAAAATGCATATTATTAAATCAACAGCTATCTACATAAAAGAAATTACATTTTAAGAATACAATTAGGATTTTGCTACATATTCCTTGAAGAT